CCTTGGAAAAATTTTGCAACTGGTGGGACGCTCATTCCTGTCGAAGAGCTGAGTGGTGGGAGTTCAGGGTTTTAAAGTCAACGATGAGATTTGGAAGCCTTTCTTAACCCAGGACCCCCAAATTCATAGGGCTGCAACTTACAAAATTTCTTACTCAGCATGCAGTCCAGAGCAATGTTTCTCAACCTTGGTAGCTCGAAGCTGTCTGGACTTCAACTCCCAGAATTCCCCAGTCAGCACCCCCAAATTCATAGGGCTGCAACTTACAAAATTTCTTACTCAGCATGCAGTCCAGAGCAATGTTTCTCAACCTTGGTAGCTCGAAGCTGTCTGGACTTCAACTCCCAGAATTCCCCAGTCAGCACCCCCAAATTCATAGGGCTGCAACTTACAAAATTTCTTACTCAGCATGCAGTCCAGAGCAATGTTTCTCAACCTTGGTAGCTCGAAGCTGTCTGGACTTCAACTCCCAGAATTCCCCAGCCAGCAAAGGGAGTTGAAGTCCAGACAGCTTCGAGCTGCCAAGGTTGAGAAACACTGATCTAGAGGGAGACAGGTTGAAGAAGGCCTCCATGATGATTGAAGAAGGCCTCCAAAGAGGAGAAAGATGGTTTGGCTCACAGTTAAGGGGGAAGTTGTTTAATCTGGCATTTTTGGAGGTCTCATTTGCAATCAGCGGAGGAGTGTTCAAAATCAGCAAAGTGGCACAGAGAGCTTCGGGATGTAAGCGGTGTGCCACTTTTGAACATCTGCCATCACCACACTCCATCTATCACCTTGCTGATTTTGACACACGTACACCCACGCCTTCTCATCCTCCAACTTTTGCGCTGAGTTTGCCAAGCTTTTCCAAAAGAAGATCCCCCCTCCGCGGAGTTGCAAAAATAGGGAGACGGCGAGAAACCCAAATTGGCCAATTCAGCTGTTGCCAACGGTGGGTTTGCAAATAATAGCTCGGGTTGGTATCCGTGCTGCTTCTTCCGCCAAAAACACGCGTAGGATAACAACCCTGGGAAAGATACCGGCTTTCGCCCGGCGAATTCAGAACCGGCGAGAAGGAAAGAAGGAAAACAGCTTCCAGAACTGAGAAAAGGGACCGCTTTAATGAGAACGCCTGCAATAAATATGGGAATGTCCTTGAGGAAAGGTCTTGCAGAGACCGCTCAGCCCGCTTCAGCCTTTGGCCTCCTTTTCTTTTCCGTGCTCTGGAGAGCTTTCTCACCCCTCTCAGGACATCCGGGGCCCCCCAAGTGCCCCTGACCTCCGTCTGCCTCAGAGGGAAGGCTGGAGAGACGGTCGCAAAGCCAGCGGCCGCCTGAATCCCACCCCTCTTCTCGCCAGTCTGATTTAGGACTGTAGCACAAACTCCAGGACGGGCCTGCCTCCTCCTCCTTGCCTCCGGGGGCCCGGGGGGCGGCTTGCTTAGCTGGAACCAGGGTGAGCAAAGGTGGGGGTCTTGTGGGCTAGGTGAGTCTGCTGGAAAGACCAAGCCATAGATCATAGCTAATGCCAATCATGGCGGTTAGTTACAAGGATTGTTACCCATAGTAGTAAAGTACTCATTCATTACTACTGGTAGTAGATTTAATCGACATATAGGTGGATCAACGTTGAAACTATTAATCATTACAAGGATTATTACCCATAGTAGTAAAGTACTCATTTATTACTACTGGTAGTAGATGGAATTGACATATAGGTGGATTGTAGTTGAAACCATTAATAGGTACAAATGTTATTACTCATAGTAGTAAGCTGCTTGTCTATTACTACAGGTAGATCTAATCGAGATAGGTGGATCATGGTTAAAACTATTAATAGTTACAAAGATTATTACTCATAGTAGTAAGCTACTCTTTTATTACCAAATGTAATAGATATATAGATGGATTGTAGCTAAAATATTAATAGTTACAAGGATTATTACTCAGAGTATATTCATTTACTACTATAGGTAGATCTTGTATAGGTAAATCATTATTCATAGTAATAAACTATTCATTTACTACTACAGCTGGTAGATATAATAGACACATCGGTGGGTCATAGTTAATACTATTAATCATTATTATTCAGAGTAGTAAACTATTCATTTACTACTACAGGTAGTAGATGCAATGTAAGTCCTGCAGAGAACTTAGACGTTGCAGGGTCCCAACATGGAGTGGCAAAGTCTTCCTCAGAGGCTGGGGAGAAGGCGAGGCTGGCAGGACCGGCGGCTGCTGCTAACAGGAGTTGGGGTGAGGAGTAGCCAGGCGGGGTTTGAAATCCCGTTCCAGAAGGACAGAAATACATCGGGAGACGTCCAAACCTCCGTCCCAAATGGAGACAATCCTGAAATCCAAACATCAAAGCGTTACAAGCCGACCTCCTCAAGGCAGACTCTCCTCTACTCCCCTGAGATCCACGGGGTCGGCGGCCCTGGGGTCCCGCAGGACCCAGAGCCCCTTTGCCCGCTTTGGATCCTGGCCTGGCGCACGGTCGATGGACCTGCAGCCTTTTTCACCCGGATTCCCCCAGCTTGGAGTTCTGGGAGTTGTAGTCCCAGGGCGTGGGCAGAGCACTTGCAACGCCATCAGAAGCATTTTCGGAGTAAGGTGCATGGAAATACCCACTATTAAATAAAGATGATAAAAAGGTTGCATATAAGGTTCTAGGTCAG